CGTATAACTAGATGTGGTAATCATTCCAATAAAAAATGAAAGCTCGTTGCTTTTTCTTTCCCTAGAATTCGAGCAGCTAAGCTCTATCCCTTTATTAATTCAACCCAACGGAATTCATTTGTTCCCAGCCAACAATTCAAAGAAAAAGATTGGTCGGATCCAATATGAATGAAAAATTTTTTGAATTCACCGTTGATACGACATGCTGCTTTTTCCATTCATTCCTTTCTGGATCAGTCGTGGTCTTACAAACCCTACCGATGGTATGGATGAACCAATTAGTTCATAGAAATGTGTAAAAAATGGAGTCGCACTTAAAAGCCGAGTACTCTACCATTGAGTTAGCAACCCTAATAAAATTACAAACAAGGATCTGTATATCCAATCGCAATAAAAAAAAGATGGAATTCTATAAATAATAGAATCAAATGTTACATATTACATTATATTACAATACAATGAAAAAAAGAAAAAATGAGAATCAAAAATGATAGACGACTTGTTTAGTACAGTACTGTAGTTATTTGTCTATTAATATAGTTTTAAATTAGTATTATTTTTTTCATATTTCTATTTCAAGAAAAAAAACTTCTTGTTTGTATCAAACAAAATCAAAATACAATGAATCCACCATTTGATGAAGTAAAAAACCTATGTGACATGAGTCAATCCATCCATTGATTCACGATCAGATTATATTTGTTTGATACACTGTTGTCAATATTAGTGTTGAAAAAAAGAATACAATCGAGAAAACAAATAAAAAAATATTTCTATTCTCATTTTTAAATAGAAAATATTTCTATTTTAATTCATTCTATTCCAAATCAAAAAAGAAGAATGAACTAGAAAAAAAATAGATCAATCCGAAAGATCTATAGGATTCATTCTAGATACAACAAGTATTTTTGTATTGTGTATTGTATTCGGCTCAATCCTTTTAGTAAAAGATTGGGCCGAGTTTAATGGAAATTAATAGAACGAATGATTATTACTGGATTACAAAGTATCCATTGCTGGGAATTCAAATTTGATTTCCTTCCAGACTTCACAAGCAGCAGCTAATTCAGGACTCCATTTGCAAGCTTCACGGATAATTGCATTACCCTCGCGAGCAAGATCACGTCCCTCATTCCGAGCTTGTACACATGCTTCCAGAGCTACTCGATTCGCTACGGCACCAGGTGCATTTCCCCAAGGGTGTCCTAAAGTTCCTCCACCGAATTGGAGTACAGAATCATCTCCAAATATCTCGGTCAGAGCAGGCATATGCCAAACGTGAATACCCCCTGAAGCAACAGGGATAACACCTGGTAAAGAAACCCAATCCTGAGTGAAATAAATACCGCGACTTCTATCTTTTTCAATATAATCATCACGTAGTAAATCAACAAAACCTAACGTAATCTCCCTCTCTCCTTCAAGTTTACCTACTACAGTACCAGCGTGAATATGATCTCCACCAGACATACGTAAGGCTTTAGCTAATACACGAAAGTGCATACCATGATTTTTTTGTCTATCGATAACTGCATGCATAGCACGGTGGATATGAAGAAGTAGACCATTATCGCGGCAATAGTGAGACAGGGTAGTATTTGCAGTGAATCCACCTGTTAAGTAGTCATGCATTACGATAGGAACGCCCAATTCTCTAGCAAATACAGCTCTTTTTAGCATTTCTTCACATGTACCCGCAGTAGCATTCAAATAATGTCCTTTGATTTCACCTGTTTCGGCCTGTGATTTATAAATTGCTTCGGCACAAAATAAGAAACGGTCTCTCCAACGCATAAATGGTTGGGAGTTCACATTTTCATCATCTTTGGTAAAATCAAGTCCCCCGCGGAGACATTCATAAACTGCTCTACCATAATTCTTAGCGGATAAACCCAATTTTGGTTTAATAGTACATCCCAATAGGGGACGTCCATACTTGTTCAATTTATCTCTCTCAACTTGGATTCCGTGAGGAGGACCTTGGAAAGTTTTAACATAAGCATTAGGGATTCGCAAATCTTCCAGACGTAGAGCGCGTAAAGCCTTGAACCCAAATACATTACCTACAATGGAGGTAAACATGTTAGTAACAGAACCTTCTTCAAAAAGGTCTAAGGGATAAGCTACATAAGCAATAAATTGATTATCTTCTCCAGGAACAGGCTCTATCTCGTAGCAGCGTCCTTTATAACGATCAAGGCTGGTAAGTCCATCGGTCCACACAGTTGTCCATGTACCAGTGGAAGATTCTGCAGCTACCGCTGCACCTGCTTCTTCAGCCGGAACTCCTGGTTGAGGAGTTACTCGGAATGCTGCCAAGATATCAGTATCTTTGGTTTGATATTCAGGAGTATAATAAGTCAATTTATAATCTTTAACACCAGCTTGGAACCCAACCTTTGCTTTAGTTTCTGTTTGTGGTGACATAAATCCCCCCCCTACAACGCATGAATTAAGAATTATAGCAAGAACAAGGTCTACTCGACATAACTTAGGAGTT